CCGCCCCCGTCGATAAAAGTTTTTTGCCCTGGAAATTATGTTATAAATCGGAAAACTTAAATGTGCGAATAATTTTCATTTGGAAAAAAAAAAAAAAAAAAAAAAAAAAAAGATTCACGTGAATGTTTATAATAAATATATTTCCAGAAAACTAAAGTAATTTCTAAAAATAAAAGAACGATTTAAAACTCATGTTTCATTATTTCTGTCTCTAATCGACCCTGACATGTCATAATGAAATAATAATTGCTTTAGCAATTGAAAAATAAAGAAGTTAATTAATCATCCGTATCCGACGTGATATTAATGGAATATTTATTAACATATAAAAGGAGTCCCGGTTGCGTGATGACCAGATCATTTTCTTTCGGACTGTCACATTTTGTCAGTATTGTTGTTAAGTTATCACTTAAATAGTTCAATATATTTTAAATAATTATCGAATTTTTATTGATTTATGTAATTTCCTTGTCGTTTGGCAATAGATTGTCGCTCGCATGTTGGTACCATAGAATGCAGTACAACCATTTGTATATTAGTCGACGATAACCAAAAAGTCCTATTTCTCAATGAAGGATCCGGAATTATGCCCGACGCTCTACTATATCATGGGATAATTTCATTGAATCCGATTTGGAAAAGGCTAACAAGTAATTTGTTTTATTTCTCCATAAAGTACTTAAAAATTTAACAAACGTTTAAAACTATTCCTGAACCAAACAAATTTACTCCTAATTTATGGCCGAATTGGCTAAAATTGCTAAGAGAAATAACATCGAAGAATATATCTATAGTTTTAATCAGTAAGAACACTGCCAAGAAAACAAGAAAAATTAAAAAAGCTGAAAAATAATTATTCTGGTATTCTTCAAACACATGCGAAAAAGAAAATTTGATGCTCAAATATATACTCAGATTATCAGGCACCTCGAGGTGGTGTAATGGTTAGCAAGCTTGTTTCGCTAGGACTACGGCTGAGTAGTCAGTTCAATCCTCACTGGATGCCCCTTACTTTCGTCCTTGTGCCCCATCCAAGCTTACGCTTGGAAAATCACTATATACTAAGATTATCGGACGCCTCGAGGTGGTGTAATGGTTAGCAAGCTTGTCTCGCTGGAACACTTACGACTGGGTAATGTGTTCGATCGCCTCTGAGTGTTGACGTCAGTGTTCACTTATATATATATATATTTACATTACGCTCTATCTCTGATATTGAGTACTTTATCCCATAAAACGTATAAAGAAGATTCTGATATAAAAAAAAAGTGTTTCGTTAAAAAAAAAAAAACTATATAGCACACCTTAAAACTATATTTCTTCTTATATATATATATATATGTATATATATAGACACAAGGCTTGGATCAATCCTTGTTAAGGTTTTCAGGTTCTTTCCTAGGGTGCCGAATGCTGGGATCTCCTTCCCAGATCAATTACATCAAGAATTAATCTTCCTGATAAATTGGTCATTGTGAGATTCGAACTCAGTTCATAAGTCATCGTGACTGAGTATACTTGCGTTGATCAAAATGTTAATCATGTTTAGCCTAGATGCTGAATAAACCATAGGTGCGCTCAATGGTGGGGTGGTGGTGAATAAAACACAAATGTATCTGAACAGGTATCTGCCACAGGGACTAGCTTCCTACCCCAGCGGATTGGTGAATGGGTGTACCCGGAAATGAGTAGCTGATCATTATATATATATATAAATATGTGTGTGTGTGTAGTAATGTAAAAAATACGTTGGTATATAATCCATGTGGATCCTAGTAATACAGTGTAACCCGGATATAAGAGAGTTGTCGGGACCGGAGAAGAAGTCTCTTATATCCGGGTTTGGTCTATTTTGTTTAGATAAGTATGGGCTCTAATTTGGGACCAGAGAAAATCTCTCATATATCCGGGTTTCTCTTATATCCGGGTCTCTTATATCCGGGTTACACTGTATAAAAATATTAGAACTGATCCACAAAAAAGACCTTGATATATTTTATTTATACAGAACAATATAGTTAATAATCAAACAAATCCTTTTACCTCACATGGGGAATAGGCTATTTCGGCAGAGTACGAAAGGGGTCGTCTGTCTTTTCAACCCCGGTGTGAAATGAAGTTCATGTCTGTAAGGTTTTTACTGGAAGCTATTTAAGTAGCAGTTAACTGCGAGGAATTGATATTGGAAGCTAAAGTGTCAACCTAAACCTTAACTTGCCGAAAGCACCTAATACAGAGTTCACACTTTTCAATGTTTCAGTCAGACGCTAATATATATATATATATATATATATATATATATATATATATATATATATATATATATTAAATTGACCATGAGCAGCTCTAAAAAGAGTCTGATAAAAGCTGCAGAAAAGTGCTTGATGCCATAATAAATTCTACAATACTGAATTATTAAATCAAAATCCATGAAGGCAGTGGCTGTATTTATTGTTGCTATACTCATAATTAATCTTATTTATTGTTGTTGTAATTTTTTATATAGAGGGCTTCAAGAATTTGAATTTTTTGCTTTTTTATTTTCATGGTGGGGTATGTATGTACATCTGGCCCCTCGTATTCGAGGCTACCCGTCTACTAGAGCGGCTAGCCAATCCATATTGCAGACGCTTGCTTCAACACCAACAGAGTCCACCTGTGCTTTATACTATGCAGCTATGCTGAGCAGTTTCTGGGAAAGAGCGTGTTATCTAGCGTGATCAACAATTTGAACAAGGCCAGCAGGATCAAGCCCTCGGCCACGATGACTTGTAACTTCGTGCTAGCACAGCTATCGACGCTCATTCCCCCAAGGGTTCCGTCTCACCAATTTCACTCACAAGGCTTAGGTCAACTCGTGGTATAATTTTCATGCACTTTCCAAAAGTGCCGCACGCTGGGATCGATCCCTCCAGTCCGATAACACCTGGAAGTCTCCTTCCTAACAAATCGACCATGGTGAGATTCGAACTCGAGTCTCATGGTCAGAATGCAAACATTCTAATCACACGTGCCCATTCATGGTGGAGTGTACGTGTATTGTCAATTAATATTTCTCTGAAATGTGAATGTATACAGCAATGTTCCTTTAAATGGTGTGTAATAGAACTTGAATCCGACATATGTAATGTAAGCCTCCTTGATAATGTTGGTGTCGTGAAACCAACACCCAAAAAATATTAAAATGACTATAAAAGCAATTTTTAGGATACTCAAATTGTAAAGATACACAGTTTTTTTAAAATTGCATGTTGAGTAATTTTAAAACATTCATATATATATATATATATATATATATATAGTCCATATAATATATATATAAACATGTATCTACATATCCATCGTTTTCGAGTTATTAAATGTAAAGTTTACGATAGATATATATATGTCCATAAAGTTCGTGTGCACTTTATAACTTTAAAGTGCGAACGAACTTTATGGACAACCTGTATCTTAGGACATTTTTATGTTTATACATACAAATATTTAAGTAAATGCTCTGTTTATAATAAACAACATCTACCAGCCTGAATTTCTGAGAAATTTTCATAGAAAATATTCGTCCTCCAACAGGAATCGAACCTGTATTCTATACGGAACCGTCATTTAGTCTGTCGTGCCTTTAACCGATTGGGCCACAGTCGAGCATTTCAATGTCTTCAAACTATAATCTTCCATGATTCTATCACTTAGATTTATATCTACTCGATGCGTATCCAAATATAAACAAATGATTTCACAAGATATTTGAAATGGATAATTATAACAATTATTTTTAAAACATTTTTTTTAAATATTTGTATCTATAAAAAAGAATGTATAAGCATAAAATGTCTTAAAATAATTGCTTTGGACTTTGTCCATTTATAATATATATATATATATATATATATATATATATATATATATATATATATATATATGTGTGTGTGTGTGTGTGTGTGTGTGTGTGTGTGTGTGTGTGAAAAATATAGGAAATAGAACTGGTTAGGTAAATAATCCAAAGTCCCTTAGTATTTTAGTTATTATTTTAAAAAATAGTGCTCGATACAAAAGTAGAGCATAAATATAATTATTTATTTAAAAATATGATTCCAAATCGCTACATAAGAGGTCTCATGTTTCAAAACAAGAGCCGAAAACTTCAATATAATCCTTTAAATTAAATTGAGTTGAAAGTAAAATGGGCTCCGTTCCATCTTCAAGCGAAATTTTTGTTGGAATAACGTATATCTGAAATTTACTTGTTTTAAAATTGAAATCAAAACCCCCATGGTAACAGCTAGGGTGAATTGTCTAAATTGGGTAGGCGAGTGTAGGGTGTTTATAATAAGTAGCGGTATAGAGATACTTTCAAGGTGTCAAGTCGGGGAAAGGTGGGGTGTCAAAATGAAACGGAAGATGTAT